AAGATTTAAACAAAAGGTAGAGATTCTGTTATCTAAACCCTCACTTAAAGGTGGGGTAGGTACGTTTGAGAAACCGGCTCGAGATACACTTTTTGTTATATTCCATGGAATCCTTTTAACATCCTGATAGCAATGAATATCTGAAGTGCTTTGACAAAAAAATCCATACAAAAATGTAATCTTTGGAAGCCGTGGCGCTGTAAAAAGCACGACCAATCATCTGAGCCGGCCCGGCTAAAATAACTGGATGGCCTACCTGCCTGTCAGCCTTCCAAATCTCGTGCCCTCATTGGTCGCGTTCGTGTGTGTTGGAGGAGGGGCTCTGTAAGGAAGTCTGAAGGAAGTGGCAGATTTTTTCCGGCTGTTTATTTTCAAATTCTAGCGCACTCGAGCTGGTTTCTCCAAAATTAACTACCCCACCTTTAAATTAAGGTTTGGCTGTTTGATTTTGTGTTTTATAGAATAGAATTGGGAGGGATGAAACCCTCTTTAATGGTCACACATGCAGAGCACACACAGTGAAATGTGTTCTCTGCTTTTAACCCATCCTACTACCAGGAGTCTAGTACTGGGAGCAGTGGGCAGCGCAATGTGAGTGGAGTGGAGGGGAGGGTGTACGGTGCCTTGCTCAAGGGCACCACGGCAGGCCCAGGAGGTGAACTGGGACCTCTCCAAGTGGCAGTCCACACTCCATATTTAGGTCTGTTCGGGGACTTGAACCGGCGACCCTATGGTTTTAACAGGACAGTTAAAGTGGTTTAAGAATTTTAAAACAACATTTTATATTCTGCATGGAAACAACCATTAAGCCAGTTTGTACTGAACTTTGCAGGTAAACACTCATGGCTAAATATTTTTTTATATTTGTTCACATGCTGCCGGAGAGTAGTTGAACCGAAGTGAACCCACATGCACCTTTTCAGGAACAAGGGGAAATAAACGTGGGTTTTAAATTGGAGGAGACACAGGAAGACCCCCCTTCAGGATCAGCAGGTATGTGTTCATATAAGTATCAATATTTCCTTTAAAGTCAACTTAAATATATAATTCAATTTCAAATCAAACCTCTGAATCAATGCATAACTATTTTTACCACACACTCAAACATGTCAAAATCTAATAAAACAAGGTATGTAATACTCGTCCAGTGTAGTAATAAAATGCTGCATTGATTTCAAGTATTATTTATATAGAAAAGTTATTAATGTCCATAAATAAAGTGTGTTTGCCATAGCTATCCAGTGTTGTAACACAATGCTGTCTCCATTTGGGAGTCATAAGGTCACACGTTATGAAAAACTGTGATTTCTGATATTAAAGAAACCTGGAAGTAACAATTCATGGATGTCATTTTTTAAGCATGAGGTCGTTTTATAAATGATCAAACTTAAACTTAAAAACTATACTCAGGGGCCAGAAGAGTACATGAGAAGATCTTTGATGTGATTTATATTGAATGTAAAAAGTTGGACAGTGATGCTTACTAGCTGTATATTCATATTATTTACCTTTTAATTATTAAAATCCCTCCTAAAAATAATTATTATAAAACCACAAAATATAATGGTATTATTTGTATTTATTGTTTTTTTAATTGTTATTATCGTTATATTATATTTTAATTCATATAATATAATATATATATCAGAATTAGTTTCACTGTCTGGATACATTTTTAATAATTCTGATTGGCCAGTGTACCGTGACGCTCCGCCTACGTCATTCCACCTCGACGTTGCTACTGCGGCTGTCAGCTTCAAACATGGCTTCTAGACTGGAGATCAATTTTATCAGATTGTTGTCCCGCTGTGAGTCTATAGCGTCGGAGAAACGAGGAGAAGCAGAATGGAGGTTAGAAAAGGTGAGAAGATTTAAAATAAAATATTTTCGTTCGGACCTGTTTTTATCTGACCTTGTTAAGCTAGAGTTAGCATGACTGTTGTTGTTAGCTGTTAGCTCTTAGCTCAGGCTGTCTGTTAGCCACGTCGTCACTGAAACACCGACACTGTTTTCTGTCATGTTGGCATTTGTATCCTCTGAAACACGTCCAAATATTATATTAAAATGAAAACATTAACAGCTGTATAGTTGACTTGCAGATTGTTTTGCTAACCTTTTTAAGTTAGCTTACTGTATTAAAGACAGCTAACAGACATTAACAGTCACCAACGGTCAACAGTTAGAATTGGTGCAATGGAGTCGTGACCATAGCTTTAACTTAAATATACTTATATTACTCATATTCAGAGTTGGAAAAAGTACTCAGGTCTTGTACTTATATACAAGTAGAAGTACCCGAGTGTAGGAATACTCTCTTACAAGTAATAGTCCTGGAACAAAAAGGTTACTGAAGTAAAAGTATTAGCATAAAAATACTCATGCATGCAGATTGGTCCAACCTTTTCAGAATAATATATATAATATGTTTTATAATGATTGATCATGAAAGTGTTCTCAAAGCTGGTAAAGGTGCAGCTAGTTTGAATGACTTTGTATACTGCAGGGTAGCTTGTGAATTTACTCCAGGTGTATACACCAAACCATTTGTATTGTTATATTCCAAAGGTTGTATTTGGATAATAAAATTTGATAATTTGACTATTAACTTCACCAGCCCCTAACCAACAACCACAACTAGTCGAGTTAAATGTTAAGTTGTATATCACTGTGATATTCCACACAGCCTAATTTCTAGGTTTTATTATTAATCATTAATACATTTGAAGTAGTTGACAGCCACGATTAACATCTGGACAGGTTATTTAAATACTCCTGAATTTCCCCATCTTAAAACGTGTAGTCCTTAGAGCTGCTCTCTCTTAGATTTCTTATGCAATGAAGATGCAACCAAAGGGGCAGAGCTTAATTAATGTCAAGTTTATGTCTTTACTGTATAAACATCCAAACTGTTGTCAGCTGACATACAATCCTGTGTTTTCTGTCCTGTAGTATGTCGGTGCTCTGGAGGAGATGATGGTGGCTCTGAGGAAAAGCGTGAGGTAAGATCCCTATTATATTATCGCTCGAGTGTCTTCATGTTTTCTATATCACTTATTTCTATTGCCCACAAGTCGATAACACGTTTTTTTTCCACAGCAAACCCACTGCAGAATTACTGACTGAATACATGAGAAAAGTAGACTTCCTGAAAGGACTTCTTGAGGCAGACAAACTGGTCAGTGTTTATATTTTACAAACTTATAATATCAAGATTATTGGGATTTCCCATTATTTGCTGGATGCGTTATTTGCACTTTGATATTTATGTTCAAAACAGAAGTCCACTCTGTGTTAGCGTTAATAGTTATTTGAACTGTATATCCTAAAAACTAACTAATACCATGAAACGTGAATTGATCCTTTGAGTTTTTCTGCTGTTTCATGATCTCATGTCTCTCCTGTTCTCGTTCCCAGTCTTCAACGACAGAGAAGGCTTTAGCCAATCAGTTCCTCGCCCCCGGACGAACCCCAACGATAGCCAATGAGAGGATGCCGGTCTCTAAAACGGTCCACATGCAGACGAAGGCACGATGCACCGGAGAGATGAGGGACGAGCTGCTCGGCACGGTACGATCAGACAAACACCGTACATTACAAAAATAACACAACAATATGAATAGCAATTTAAAATATGGATAATTTGCCAGTAGGTAATAGTTCAAAATACAAATGTGTGTCAAAGGATTCAAATCAAGATGAAATCACATGTGGAGGTTTTGTCATACACAATTTACATTGTCTTAACTGTTTACACAAGTTTGATGTTATATTTTGTATATTTGTTAATATTCTAAAGTTCCTAGTCAACTTTCACCATTTACTGGCAAAATGCTGGTTAACAAATGTGTAAAAAAACAACAACTAGATTTCCTTTTTTTTCTGTCGTTACAGGGGTTGTCAGGCAAAGGTAAGACATGTTTTTCTAAGCGCCAAAAAAATGGTTAACCGAAATGTACATATCCTATAGCAACAACAACAAATGTGGGAAAAACATTTTAATTTTGAAAAATAAATAAATACATGTTCCAATAATTATAAAAACCAAGTCGAGTTTGTCAAATGTATTGAACTGGTGATCACAGTTTGAACAGCTGACAGCTATAGGCCTACAGCTTTCATGCTTAAAACATAACTTGGTTTTTAAATGAAAGAGGGATCATACACGAACAGCATAACGGGTTAGGGTAACGTAACCCATGACAACAGAGATCAACAACCTATAACAGGGCTTATGCACAGAATGCAGCTATTCAATACTCATTCTTCTTTAAGACAATGAGCATGTCTACTCAGGGGAGAGGGGGGTGTGGAGACGATTCACAATCAGACCAGCTGTAGAGAAGACCCTCTCAGCTGGAATGTGGGCATAAGATGAGGTTTGAGTCCGCGTGATCTGCGTGTAGGGAGGGGCAGCAGCAATATCATTAGCTAGAACTAGCTAGATCTGATGGATTTGGACATAAACGCGAGTGAAGTATAACCGGACGCGAGAGAGAGATCAGCACCTGCAGCTCTGCCCGCTGTGAGGGACCGGTGAGCGGAGCAACACACACCTTTAGACCTAACACACTTAGCTATGGCACTGTCGTATACATGGGATTATTCCATTTAATCATATGTAATCAACTTGTGCACCCCACCCAAAAAACAAACCAAAAAAGAAATTACAATAAAAATATTCATAACTTATATTCGAATACCTGAATGATTTCGAATATTCGATTAATCGTTCCCATCCCTAGTATATATACGGACAGGGGTGCAAAGATTTGGAGGTGCCGGGATCCTTCTATGAAGTAAAAGTTTTCACGTATACAAAGGTCAGGTAGAGGCGACGCAATGTGTCCTTCCTCTTCGGTGATTCTAAGCCCCCCCCCCTTCCTCCAACTGCCAGTAGGTAGCGTCGAGACCCCCTTCTAAGACTACTTCTCCTAGGTACGACTACTTCCTCTTCCCTCTGCTCCTACTCGTAGTCGTGTCGTCGGTCAAGTGCTCTGGAAAAAAAAGAACCACACCGACGAGGTCTGCGAAGGCTGAAGGCAGAAGTCGAAGAGCTTCAAGTGTAGCCGGACTGCGTAGCTGACCGAGGTCTCAGACTCCCCCTACCTGTCCAACTACTACGAATCTGTCGTCCTATTAGGGTTGTATAATGTTGATGAAAACCTAAAGACTTCACTTTTAGATTGTAATATTTCCTGTATTAAGAGCAGTGGTGGCGATCGATTTCCACCGAATTACAACCCGATATTTCCTTGATGTCGCGTGCCAGTGTACTGAAGTGCAGTGGGTGGCGATTCGATTTCCGCCGATTACAACCCGATATTTCCCTTGATGTCGTGCCAGTGTACTGAAGTGTAGTGGTGGGCGATTTCGATTTCCGCCGATTACAACCCGATATTTCCTTGATGTCGTGCCAGTGTTACTGAAGTTGCAGTGGTGGCGATTCGATTTCCACCGATTACAACACGATATTTCTTAGATGTCGTGCCAGTGTACTGAAGTTGCAGTGGTGGCGATTCGATTTCCACCGATTACATCCCGATATTCCTTGATGTCGTGCCAGGTTACTGAAGGTGCAGGTGGTGCGATTCGATTGTCCACCGCCATTACAACCCGATGATTTCCTTTGATGTCGTGCACAGTGTACTGAAGGGTGCAGTGGTGGCGATTCGATTTTCCTCCGATTACACCGATAATTCTCTTTGATGTCGGCCTGGTACTGAAGTGGCAGGTGGGACGATTCGATTTCCACCAGAGAGAAATTACAACACGCCGAATAAACTGGTGAACACTCGTTTAGCGTGTCAAAACTTAAGTAGTCCACCACATTAAACGACTGCATATAATACAGCATCTTGTTTTACAAATTTTTAGAAGTCGAAGCACAATTGGTGTCAGGAATAAAGTCCAATTGTTGGATTTTTGTTGTAAGTCACTTTGGAACTGAAGGGCCTTGTTCCCTTGTCCTTCACGAAATTTTTGCCTGTCCACACATTCCATACATACCACACTACAGACAGACTCCACACTACACACCAATCCACACACACACATACACACATACACACATACACACATCCAGACATACACACATCCACACAACACGTCCATGGACCAACAGGACGAACTACTAACAAGACGCGACGGTCCGACAACAAGAAGTCCAGAACCGGTCCCAGTCGTACAGGAGCCGTCAAAGAGGACGTCTAACACCCCACGACGTAGTGCCGGAGGTCAAGGCCACTGACCTGCGACGGTAGTCTGACGAGACGTGTGTTGTCGTACCTTGTGAACCAAAGTGACTTATGTCTGTGTGATGATCTTTTCCCTAATTTCGAGTTTCATTTTACATACATTTTTTCCTTCTTTAATGATGCACGCCAGAAACAATGGAAGACAAAGCGTTAAGCAAAAAGGCTGTACGGGACATCTCTCCTTCTCTTTCCAGTTTAGTCGTCCGATGCGAACTAATTTATATATTATTACAAAATTATTAATATTAGGTTCATATATTAGTAGTCGTACTCTCCAGACAGTTCACAAGTTCGACAATACATTCCTTGTCCGTTCAGACACGTCATA